CCATCTGTGATTCCTGCATGGTTCATCCTTACAGCTACTGTCTGTCTAGTGCTTACTGAATGTCTGAGTGCTCTCTGCCTTTTCTCTCTTCATCCTCCCAGCAGCCCAATGAAGGATGCTCTGATGTTATTTCCATTTGGCTGAGAGGTTAAGTAACCCACCTTCAGCTACCTCAGCTAGCAGTGGAGTTGGAAATTGAAGCCAGGTGACCTGATCCCACAGTTCTGGCAGGTGACTACCAGGCTGCACTGGCCCTTCCGTGCCAGGAGTGCTGTGGGTGGAAGTGGTGAGTCACTCAGCCTCCTAACCAGGCATCTGGCTCTTTCTCCACAGCCCACAGTGGCTCTCACACTGCCAGGCCATTCCTCAAAGGAAATCCTTTCTGTGGGACCAGTTTCACATGAGCTAAGAATGCCAAAGGTTTTCCAGAGCAGGGGCCCACCCCAGAGCACCTCACCTGTCTTCTCTGACCACACCCTTTTCTCCTAGGGAACCCCGGCCGCCACTTTTTCACTAGCTGTTGAGAACTTGGTGACCACAAGCCAGTGACTGCAGGGTTGGGTGCGAGCCAGTTAGGATTGCCAGGTTAATCTCTGTCATTTAGCCAGCACCAGGGAGCGAGCAGGCCTGCCTTTTGTGATTTGCCTATTTATCTGTTTGCTGATTTCAAACTCAAGTTTGCTCAGGCATAATTTTAAAAAATTGATTATTTAAAAAATTCCATCTTGTGGCATCTCTTGTCCCACTTCCCTCTGGGTAAAACCACCCAAATGTCCAGGGAGGGGGATCGAGGCCAGGCTCTTCTGGCCACAGTCTTCACTTGCTAGTGTGCTGCTTGGAGCGGGTGAGAGGATGGCCCTGGAAGTTCCTGTCTGGGTCTCCTGCAGGAAGCTGCAGGGTTTTGCTGGAGCCCACTTTGGTTTGGGAGCCAAAGAAGCACGTATTTGTGGCTGAGACTTGGGCCTTCCGCTTTGTAACCCGTGCCTTGGGCAATGGCGTGTCTTCAACATACTGACACTGGCTCAGGTGGACACGAACTAGAGAGACCTCAGAGACATGGCCCTGCCCTGTGGGAGGCGTCCGGTGGGTGAGGTGTGTGCTTTAAACAGCCCCATCCTAGGGGGTGTGACTCCATGAGAGGGAAGCTCAAGGGGCTGGGAGGGGCACCAGGAAGGACCCTTTAATTTGCCCAAAGGTACGATCTTTCTGGGTGTCGACTCTCTTCCCCTGTAAAGGGGGTGCGCAGGTGCACGCTCCTTGCCTTGCTGGGTATGTGAGCATAAGTTGTGAACCGCAGCCCACCCCGTGGAGGTCAGGGCCCATCCCTATTGTTAGTTTAGCCAGCAGAGCAAGGTATCACTGGCACCATCTGTGCAAAGGAAGTTCCACTTTTGACTTTGATGGAGTCTTTCTCTACTCCTAGGCCTCAGATGGAATCCCGCCGATCTGAGCTGGGACCCTGATTTTGTCACCTGTGACAAGTCACATAACCTCCATGGACCCGGTATCACACCTGTAAGATGAGGCTGGCTGCACCTTCCCTGCAGTCACTGTGAGTCAGAGATGAGATAACATGTGGGATTCCCAGCAAGCGGAAGGTGCTGGGTCACACCAGTTCCCATGGATTCCCTTCCCAGACTCTCCAAGCGCTCCCTCTTTTCCTTGGGTGCTCCCTAGCCAGGAAGGTGACTTTGCCATTATGCAGATCACTTGGAAGGGAACTCAGTACTTCCGCCTGCCTCTGCCCCCAGCATGTGCAGTGAGTTGAACAGGGCACAGCTGCGGGTTGGCCAGCCCTTGGCTCAGGTGTTGCTGGCTGATGCCCGTGCCGTAGCAGATCTAGGAAGGCATGATGGGCCGGAGTTGACCCAGCCAAGCCTACATCCATGTGGACAATGTCCCCCGTTAGAGGTATACAGGGTGCAGACCACTTACCTTGACCATTCATTGCCTGCCTGGCACACCAGCCATCTGCAACTGGCCAATGTGACTATTTTCTTTTATGAAATTAACTGTGTATAAAAAAGTCATCACTGTAGCAGGCCCTGCTGTCTCAGTCCCAGCCCTGAGCCTCTAGGTCCTCTCAATACAGCGGAGGGGCTTAGACCAGGTCAGATCTCGGTGAATTTGGACGAGGGGCTACTGGTAATTGCCAGGATAAATTTGGTGACACAAGCCCAGGGCACTGAATGACAGCCACTCCCTCTTCATCTCCCCTTCATCTCTCCTTTTTTTTCCTTTTCTTTCAATCATTCTGATTAGATGACCTTTCCATAGCCACCTGGGCTCCACCCTGGACCAATTCGTCAGAGAGGTCTCTGGATGTGGGGCTGCTTATCTGTAGCTTTTTAAAGCTTCCCAGGTGATCCTGATGCACAGGGATGATGGCGAACCCCTGGATGTTGTCCAGGAGAGCATCTCGGTGAGGGCTAATCTGTGTTTAACAGCTCTCTAACAATGAGCAGGCCCCACGTGTAAACTAGCAACATTATCCAGATAGAGTTAAACCTTGTTTATGTTCATTATTTTATGACACATGGAAATTGATCCTGACCCTGTTTTTTTATTTAAGGTAAAAATATATTTCTTTTTTTTTTTTTTTGAGACAGAGTCTTGCTCTGTCGCCCAGGCTGGAGTGCAGTGGTGCAACCTTGGCTCACTGCAACCCCCACCTCCCAGGTTCAAGCAATTCTCCTGCCTCAGCCTCCTACGTAGCTGGGATTACAGGCACGTAGCACCATGCCCAGCTAATTTTTGTATTTTTAGTAGAGATGGGGTTTCACCATGTTGGTCAGGCTGGTCTTGAACTCCTGACCTCGTGATCCACCTGCCTTGGCCTCCCAAAGTGCTAGGGTTACAGGCATGAGACACCGTGCCCTGCATAAACATTTGTTTCTTAATCCAGATATAAGAAAAAAAGAAAAAAGGTAAAAAGAAAAAGTCTTCTTTTAAAATAAACGAGTTTAAATGGGTCAAATTAAAGAAAATTAATTAGAAAAAAAGTGAATGTGTCTGCATCTCGGTTATAGTCAAAATCATGACTGTAACGGACAAATGGCCACACTGTGAAGACATGGAACTAGGTGACCTCTACGGCCCAACATTCTGACAGATCTGAGGGCTGCCCAACGAGATCACTAACCCAGGACTGTTGGCACCAGCCACCTGGACTGGCAGAGAGTGGGACTGGCAGACTTGAGAGCGGCTGTGTGCATAACAGGGCTTCCCAGTGTAGCTTCACTCAGAGCTCCCCAGGGACAGTGCAGCTAGAACATCTCCGTTTCAATGCGTTTGCCCTCTTGCTCCACCTTCCCCGGACCACAGGGGCAGCCTGAGAAGCAATCTGTCCAGCAATCAGGGCCATTTTCCTGGGGTCAGCGCTGCCGTGTAAACGCAGTGAATGCAACATTACAGGACCTCAGTGCCCACAAGAGCCTGGCTCCTTTGCTGGTGCTTGGGCTAATCAAGCCTTGGAGTGAAACGAGGCGCCCAGAGTCCCAGGGCAGGACCCAGCACTGCTGCCTTCCAGGCTGGGGCTCTGTAGATCGAATAGGGCCCTTGTCCCCAGGTCTTAAGCTCCTCAGAAGGGAAACAGGAACAGAACGTGATATGAACAGGCCCTGCCTGGCCCTGGCCAGCTTTTTCCACATGTGTCCGGTGGCCCCTACCTGTTATCACTGGAGAGTTGTCCAGTGAGCCTTTCTTTTGTGAGTGATTGTATGAGGCTCCTATTGTCTTTTTTTTTTTTTCTTTAAATAGAGGTGAAGTCTCTCTATGTCGTTGAGGCTGATCTCGAATTCCTGGGCTCAAGGGATCCACCCTCCTTGGCCTCTCAAAGTGCTGGAATTACAGCCACGAGCCACCATGCTGGCTTCCTATCATCTTTTAGCTGATGTAATGATTCACACCATGGGCCCCTGCGAGGGTGGGACCCAGTCTAGCAATGATTCAGATACTGCTTGGAGGACGTGGCGAGATGGTGTCAGCAGAACAACCATGACGGTGTGGGGGGACCTCAGCTTAGTGGCAAAGGCCCCCTAAGTGACTGTGAGAGACAAATGCCAGGGAGAAAGCTCTGAGGAAGACACGATTCTTAGCATCTGGAAACCTTTGCTTGTCAGCAAAGCTGGCTATCCGGATTGTGTCACAGTTTGCTGAAAGGACTAGCATAGAATTTTCTAGGATTCCGGACCCAGAAGAATGCTGTGCTGATAGGCAGAGGGTGGGGTGAGGTAGTTCCCTTGGGCTGATAAATAGCACTGGCCTTGAAGCTCCCAGAACAAACTCTTTTGGTAAAAGACCAGAAAGGAAATATGTAAGTATATTTTGGCTCTCCATCCTATCGAGAAAGCAGCCATAGACACTATGTAAATGAAGGGGTGTTGGTCGTGTTCTAATAAAATTTATGGACACTGGAATTTGAGTTTCACATAATTTTCATATGACATGAAATACTATTATTCTTTTGATGTTTTTCTAACCATTTAAAAATGTTAAACAGCATCCTCGGCCCAGGAGCTGTACAGAATCAGGCAGTGAGCGGTGGTTTGCAGCCTCCTGTCTAGAAGCCTTCTCCGCAGTGGGGGGCGGGCCTTGCAGATTTCAACCAGTCACTCTTCTAATAATTTCAGTTCTCAAAAACGTAGTTCTGACTGGGTGCAGTGGCTCACACTTGTACACTCAGCACTTTGGGAGGCCGAGGCAGGAGGATTGCTTGAGCCCAGGAATCTGAGACCAGCGTGAGCAACATGGTGGGGCCATCTCTATAAAAAATATAAGAAAATTAGCCCAGCATGGTGGCCCTTGCCTGTGGTCTCAGCTACTTGATAGGTGGGAGGCAGGAGGATCACTTGAGCCTGGAAGGCCGAGGCTGTAGTGAACTGTGATCACACCACTGCACTCCAGCCTGGGCAACAAAGAGAGACCTGTCTCAAAAAAA